TAAATACAAAATTGTAAACATTTGAAAAGTATGAATTTTTAAGAAAACTGAGAAAATATTAAATTATAAAACTTAAAGTGTATTTTTTTCTCTTTTAAATTTAAATAAATAATTTAGATAAATAAATAAAGAAAATTAATTAATCTTTAATTTAGTAATTTTGAAATTAAAAAGAAAGTTTATTAATGATATTGATATATATTTATTATTGCATTTAAATACTATCTACAATTTAATAAAATGAAAAAAAAAACAATAAAATGACATGTGAAATAAAATTAATTTAAAATAACCACAAAATTACATGTGACAAAATAAATGAGAATGTGACATGTGACAAAAAGATCTTTATTTATTAGAGATGATAATGATAATATTATAATAACAACTAAACTGATAGTAAGAGAGAGAGAGTCAAATCGTGTTTCTTTAAAATATAATAATATCATAATAACAACTAAATTGAGAGAGAGAGAGAGTGTCAAATCGTGTTTCTTTAAAATATAATAATATTATAATAACAACTAAATTGATAGTAGGGACGACATCGGGACGGGTATATATATATATATATATATATATATATATATATATATATGAAACGGCGAGATATTATTAAGCCACAATCTAAAAGAACAAGACATGGCAGAAAACAAAACAAAACAGACACTACATAATGTTAAACGGAGAGACACACCACTCCACCAAAATACAGTTTACAAACCGCCCTCTATGTTTAACCCAACTAAAGACAAGAAAAGTAACATTATTAAACACACCATCCTTAGAGATACACACCTTGCTGAAAAGTCTATTGTTTCGCGCTCTCCAAATACACCCCATGTAACCAAAGAAAATGGCCAAAAGAACTTTACGTTTCTTCGAACAATTACCCCACTTGGAAGCAAAAACGATAAGCTCCCGGATGATCGAAATTTCGCTGAGGAATATTGCACCAACCCAAAATCTGCTGAAGAACATCACGAGCCCAAGGGTAACCCACAAACAGGTGCTCTGCATCTTCAGCCTCCCAAGCACACCATAAGCAATCGCTACTCTGGGCAGAAACACGTCTCTTAGCGAGAGCACAAGCAGTAGGGATTCTACCGATGCAAGCCCGCCAAATGGAACAATTTATTTTTAAAGGCACCAACGAAATCCAGGTCATAACATTATACATCTCAACCATTAGGAAGGAATCTATCAGCGACCTAAGATCATGCACATAAAACTTGCCATCAATAGACAAGGGCGATTTCCAAACATCAACGGAATCTCTAAGCAAAAAAGTCGACACCTCATTTTTGAGGGCTTGAAATTCGTCAATTTCCACCTGTTGCCTAGGCTGCCTCTTCCACTCCCAACCGCCTTCTACAGAGTTGATCACTAATACAACATGATTTCCTTTTATCTAAGCCAAAAATATGAGGGTACCTCGAAGCGAGATTCCCACCCTCTCTCCAGTTATCGAGCCAAAAAATAATGTCCCTACCGGACCCAACTTGAGGTTTCAAAACAGAATAAAGAGATATATCGATGCTATCAAGCGCGAAGATCGTCTTTGTGATGTTGAGCCAAACGCCTGGAATGGATTTTTTTGGAGAGATTAGACATAGTTTTCCTGTACAAGTTGTGAATTCCACAGATAATTTTTTTCCAAAGAGAGTCTGGTTCCATTTTAAACCACCAAATCCATTTAAACAGCAAGGCCAAAATTTAGAGAAGACAACGAACCAATGACAAGCCCTCCTTTGGCTTTAGGGCGTAAAACAACCTTCCATGCAACCCAATGAATGTGGTTCTTCTACCCAGTACCACCCCATAAAAATCTCCTTCGGAATCTCTCGAGCAACTCAATGACCGACTTTTTGGGCTCTCAAAATAGAAAAGAAAAACAGTGGTAAACTACCAAGGACCGCTTTCGTGAGGGTAACTCTACCACCGAACGAAAGTGATTTAGACTTCCAAGAGGAGAGTTTACACTGAACTCTCTCAATGACGGGCATCCAATTCCTCTTAGGAGTCATGTTTGAGCCAACCGGGACTCCTAAGTATTTAAAAGGAAATGAAGCCGCCTCACATCTCAGAACCCGCGCACATCCAGAAATTTCACTTTCTGAAACACCAACTCCATAGACTTTGGACTTATGGAAGTTCACCTTAAGCCCCGAGGCCGCATGAAAACAACAAAGAATGCGCGCCAAATTTGAGAAATTAGTGCTCTCCCAGGTTCCAATGAAATCACATCATCAACGTAAAAAAGATGTGATATCGAGGGGCCCCTATTTAGAATACTAACACCATGGAACAACGATTTCTGGCAGGCAGATTTCATGGCCACATTTAGGCCCTCCATAGCCAGAAGGAAGAGGAACGGGGAGAGCGGGTCCCCTTGACAGACTCCTTTAGACAACTGAAATTCTTTTGAGGCGGACCCATTAATAAGAACCGAGGCACGCACAGATGAGAGGCAACCAATAATCCAGTGCCTCCATTTCTCCCCAAACCCCATTTGAGACATAACGGAGTTCAAATAATTCCAATTTAACGAATCAAAAGCTTTATTGAAATCCACCTTGAAAAGAAAAACTTTCGTTTTTGAGTGTTTCGCCCAAGCACAAATTTCGTTAACAATCAACAGACCATCAATAACGTTTCTTCCGTCAATGAAAGTCGTTTGCACCTCGTCAATAATAGAGACCATCACCTTTTTGAGCCTTAAAGCAAGAGTTTTAGCCAAAATATTGTACACACAACCAATAAGGCTAATGGGGTCGTAATCACTAAGGGAAAGCGGGTCTTTAACTTTGGGGAGAAGAGTAATGAAGGACGAATTGGTACCCCTATAAATCCTCCCATTGTTCTCGAAATTCTTTACAAATCTCATTATATCATCATGGACCACATGCCAAAATACTTTAAGGAATTTGAAAGTGAACCCATCGGGTCCTGGTGCCTTGTCCTTTCAGCATTCCCATACAGCATTTTTGATTTCAGCTAAGCCAAAAGGAGCCTCGAGAAAGCGTTTGTCAGCATCAGCCAGAGATGAGAACAAGGGATTGGAAAAATCGTGCCTGAAGTGGTGCTCTTCTCGGAATTTCTCACCGAAGAACAAGTGCGCCTCTTTTTTAATGGGTTCAACCCCGGTAACCCAATTACCATTGACCATAAATCCTTGAATTTGGCATTTGCGATTTTTAACTTTCAAAGTGTTATGGTAGAAACGAGAGTTTTCGTCACCATCAGTAAGCCATTTAATTTTTGATTTTTGAATGAGATCCAATTTCGCCATTTTTTCAAAGTCAATGGTTTTTTGCTTGTTTTCCCTCAAAATCTCCACTTCAGAATCATCCAACACCCTTGATTCAGCAATAAGATCAAGATCCAAAACTTTTGATTTGAGGTCACAAAAAGTTTTGTTTTCCTTCTCATATTCGATTATGTGCCAATTTCTAATAGCATCCTTAAGGAATTTGAGTTTGTTTGAGAGGTATCGATCAGGGGGCCAGCACCATTGTATTTATTCCAAGAGTCAATCACAGGGCTTTCAAACCCATCTCTCAGAATCCAAGAATTGAAAAAGTGAAATGTAGGGGGACCGAAATAAAGAAATTGAGTGTTGAGGATAATCGGAGAATGATCCGAGAATTCAGAGGCAAGGCCATAGATGAAGCCGACGGGAAGTTAGCCAAGAAAGAAGGGTTGACCAAAAAGCGATCCAATTTGCTGAGTTTTCAGCCATCATCGCAGAAGAACGTGAATCTCCTGCCCCCCATGTTGAGATCAAAAAGCCCTGCATCTGAGATAAAACTGTTGAAATCAGCAGCAATGCGGGGGCAGAAAATGGAGTTGAATCTTTCATCCCGACTCCTAACAACATTAAAATCCCAAAAAAAACACCCAATTTTTATTATGAGAATTCATCAGATGAAGGAGATTACGCCACAGGGCACGTTTTTCCTTAGCATCCTGAGGGGCATATACGTTGACCAAGATGGTCTCACCCAGAATACCGTTCCAGTAACCAGAAGGGCAAGAAAAAATCTGGACTTTATAACCGTAATGACCTGGAATAGGGACTTATCCCATAACATAAGCAAACCATTGGACCTGCCAGAAGACTCAACAAAACTCACAGCCCCCATCACAATGACCCCACCAATCATAAATACTAACCGGAATCGAAGAGATACGAGCTTATTGAATACCACAAACCGATACTCTATGTTCCTTTTTTAATCTAGCCCAACCGATCTTATGGGAATCACCCATACCCTTTATGTTTAGAGAGAGAATATTCATGAGGACATGACATTAACCCCTCCACCTCTGACTGTACCAAGGAGAACCTCATTACACTACTCTATTTGGAACCCCACCTGCTTACCAATAGCAAGAGTCTGCTCCAAATCTGACGAAGAAGACAAGGATTAAGAAGGAGATCCTGAATTGTAATTACCGCCAACATCAGATGAGGAAGCATCAATCAATTTTCGTTTAAGTTCGATAGAAGGGGACGAGATCGGCTCCGGAATCCAAGAATTAACCAGTGAGCTTCGTGCTTCCCTACGAGGAGACCCCCGTTTGTCTTTCTTTTTTGTACGACGTCATTTTTGGGCGGAGTCACCCGGATGGAAGTCTGAGCAGTTGCTAACTCTATATGGGCTGGCAGAAGGTCCATAAAAAACCGGACCATTATTTAATGGACGTGACCCGGGCCCAACATTCAGTGCCGGAGAATCGGGCATAGACGGGCACACCCTAATAAAACCATCCTTCGGACTATGCGCCGCAATAAAAAATTCTTCGCGTGATTCATTGTTTTGAGGTGACGAATGAACTCCCACAAGTTGAACGATTGGAGGAGATACTCCGGCCACCAAGGGATCATTACCGGGCGGGCACGACGCGACACAGGCTTGAATATTGTGCATCTCCTCCGAGTGATTGATTTCTCCTTCTTTGAGATCCACCTCCTTCTGTTCCCACGTATCGGAAATTCAATCCTCATCATCATCCTCCTCATCCGAGTCAGAATGATGATTCACGATGAAGAGCTTGAAAAGGACCCAATCATTGTCAACTTCGAACACACCTATTTTGAATTTCGTGCCATCGATCAACACCAAGAGTTCCTCATTGATTTTTGCTCTGTAAGCCATAAGGATACAAAGCTTTGCAAAAGAAATATCGTTGCGGTTCCAAAAGGAGCATAGCTGGACCAACACCTTTCCGAAATTCCCTGAAATCGAATTGAAATTGCCCTCGTCCCAAGCATGAGGGGGTATACTGGTAATCTTTATCCAAGCCACCCGTTCGAAATGAACATAATTCTTCCCATATTTATCCAATGAGGCAAACCATTTTTGACATATACCCTTGTTAGCTTTGAACATATCTGCTACATTACCGATTTTAAATTTTACCGCCACAATCATACCCCCGAGGTATTTAACATCACACACACCATAACGTTCAAGGTCCACAAGAGAAGGAAAGTTACATAAGAGATCGAAAGACTTTGCCTCCCCCACCAAAACAAAGTTTGTGGCCCAATCTTGGATTTCTTGAATACAGGACAAAGAAATGGCCTGAGATGCAGACTTCCTCCCACCTACGACGTTGACAAATGATCTCGAATCCCTCTGATCAACAAGAAAGGTATATGGGACCGAGACGGTTGGCCTCCTCATCACTTCAGGGGTTGCCCTTCTGGGATGCCTGACACAATTTGCGATTAGTATTCCCCCTTTACATGAAATGTTATTTATCCCCTTCTCAATTTCTTTCGCCGCAGTCACATGTTGAAATCAAATGAACGCGAAGAAAAACCAGATGCATCCTTTCTCCATGCAATATAGATATTCACCAATTTGCCGAGTTTTGCATAGGGGGCCCAAAGGTCAGATTTACGAGCATCACCAGGAAGATTTGCGACATAGAAAGTGGTAACAGATGGGTCTTCCCTAAACTGGAAGGTTGGTGAGTAAGAAGAAGAAGAAGAAACCTGCCGTCACCGCCTGACTTCTCTCCAATCTCTGTTTTCTTTCATTGTAGGTTCGAGGGTCACACGAGTATAGGTATAGAATCGGCCTTTCATTTGTTACAAAGCGTATAGACAACCACAAACCAACATACATATGTTTGTAAAAGAAACATAAAATAGTGTTTAAATCTATGTTAATGATTTAGATTCCATTACAGTTTGGGTTCATATCAAAATCTTGAGAACTCAAATAAATTGATTTCAATCTAGACAAAACAGAGCATTGAAAGCCACACCATGATTTTTTTAATTTTTTTAGTTTTTATTTTAACACTAATCTTATATTTTCTATCGATTGTGATCGAGTAATTCTCTATAATTAGACCAAATAAATTAAACAATGTGAAATAAAAAATAATCAAGCCTAATTGCCTACATAAACCAAAACATCATATAATAATAGAACATTGAAGCTCTACATTTATATCGAAATCTTACAAATTTGCATTTGAAAGACCACATTTAACTCCAAAAGTCACTTTTCGAAAAGGAGAAGATGTTTAACTAGGTCAAAGTGGGAAAATATATTACTCTTAAGGATCATCAAACATGAAAACATATTATTTTTTTATTTTAAGTTATGAACCTATGTATCACGCAGTAATACATAACGCTTAGTAAATAAATTAATGATTTGTAATGTAATGAACAATGATTATTATTTTTAGTTAGTATATTTTTTACTTTATGAATCGTAATTTACACGGGTTATAACCTAGTTATAAAATATACAATATTATAATTCTAAATTCTAAATAAAAGTAAAATTGAGAGAGAGAGAGAGAGAGAGAGAGAGATTTAATGTTATGTTATATAATTTTAAAAAGAAACCAATAATAATTTGTCAAGATAGAATGGAATATAGTTATTGCATAGAAACCTTAAATAAACGTCAATAGAGTGGATGTATAAATAAAAAACCTAAATAGAATGTAGTAGTTATTAAATTGATTGGATGTATAAATAAAAACCCTAAATAAAATTCAATGCCAACATAAGAGAAAACAATACCTTTTGGCGATCAAGGCCATCAATTTGGTTTCCCTACCGTCGAAAAAGATAATTTTAGAGTTAAAGATGAGGAAGGTGTAAGGGTAATTAATTTTATTTTGTCTATCTAGAGTCATAGGTGGTCATGTCCTCACGAAGAGGGTCTAACTCCAGAGCTCAATAACCTCCGGATTGATCTATCTTCAGTACAACTGGTCAATGGAGCTGACACTTGGGAGTCCTCCTTAGATAAAGATGGAGCTTTCAAAGTATGTTATCTAAGGTGGAAAGTTAACTGTCAATCTGGAATAACTCAAAATATTCCCACAAGCAAATGGAGCAAGGAAGTCTCACTCGAGGTCAACTGTTTCTTGTGGCGAGCAATTCAACAGAGGATAGCTTCGATGGTGGGTCTTAGAGCTAGAGGTATTGAGGCTCAAACTACTATGTGTGGTTCATGCATAAGTGGAGAAGAAGTTGATGATCATATTTTGGTAAGGTGTCTGTTTGCCAAAGTTGTGAGGGATAAAATCGTCAATTGGTGCGGCGTACAGAATCAGTCATTCAATAGCATTGGCGAACTACACATATTTACTGCAAATTGGGGACGAGTCCTAAAATGAAAGCTCGGTTCCATACCATCTTCTATGGTTTATTTTGGAATCTATGGAACTATCGTAATGATTGGATGTTCAAACAGGTGTTCATCAGTCCTTCGTATGGTGTAATGAAAATCAAATCAATTCTACATGTGTGGGTTAAATGTAGGGGTAAAGGTGGTATCTATGTAACATCATGTGACAACCCGAAATATTTTTGCCTTCTAGCCTTGTTAAGGGTCATTCTAAGGAATTTTAAGCCTAGTACACTTAAGGAATGAGTGTTAGAATGTACCTGCTAGAGACATTGTGCAACATTCAAGCCTTAACACCACCAAAATGGAGTTCACGGCCAAAGAACATAGAGTTTATGGCCTGGCCGTAAAATCACCCCTATATACGTAAGACTTAGCCATTTCTTCATTCTTTTCCTTTCCTTGGCCGAAATTTCCCATTCTCTCTCAAGTATCATCGAGATTTCACTCCTGATCTTCATCACAGGGCCTCCAAAGTGTGAGTACTCTTCCGCTAACTAAGTTATATGCTAGAAACACTTGATCTACACTTTGAAATCATCCAATTCTCAAGAACAAAAGGAGTTTACGGCCAAGAGCATCTCCCTTGGCCGTAAACCCCTATAAAGGTGCCATTTGAGCCTTAAACTCTTCCTAAGGCTTGTATTTTAGGCTAGAACACTCCCTTGTGCTTTGTAAGACCTTGAATCATCACCAAACTCATCATCAAAGAGAGTTTACGGCCAGGAGTTTACACCTTGGCCGTAAACCCTTGTAGTTGTCATGATTTGGACCTTAAACACATCTAGACCTTTACTAACCATTGGAACACTTGAGCCTTTGAAATTCCTTGCCTTTGAGACCCGATAAGACACCATTTGGAGTGTTTACGGCCATAGGGTTTATGGTGTGGCCATAAACACATCAACACTCTCCATTGAGTTGGTATTTCTCATCCTTGTGTAGAGCAATGGTCCCTCAAGTTTCCCTAGCCTTCAAACACCCTCTTATGCATGTTTGACCATGAGTTTACGGCCGTAAACTCCCTTGGCCGTAAACACATGGCCGTGAACACAAACCGTTGGCCTTAAACATCCCTTAGATGAATCACATGTGATTCCAACACTTGGTCAAAGTGTTTCCTAGTCCCGGAAGGTGTTTCCTTTCATATAGTTGCTTATAAACACTATATTCATGCCAATATATGTCATTATATGTCATTTAGGACTTTTTGTGTCTCGGGACTTCATTCGTGGAACTTCTCATCCTTACGCGCTTATTCGTTTGAATCACCCACATAACGTGAGTTCATACCCCGTAATCAATCTTTTAAACTGTTTTAAATGTTTTAAGGGGGGAATACAAGTTGAACACAATGATAATTGTGTAATTGTTTGTTATAAACATTTTCAAAAGATTACTTATGTCATTTATAATTAGTCAAAACATTTCAAAAACTCTTTTAAAGTTATGTTACTTTATAGTTTAACAAAACTCCGTTTTTAAAGTACCAACATAACTTAGTAGAAAAATGAGTCTTTACAATAACAGTTCAAGTAAAATACTAGTAAACTATAAGGGGTATAGTTTAGAGGTTCAGTTCATACTAGATACAATTCATCAGAGAGACATACTATACACTATACACTATAACAGAACGAACATACTAAGATGCTATAGCATGAGAACATACTAGATCTAATTATACCAATGAATCACTAACTCATTGTTTGTAACAAAAGGTGATAGTTAAATTGGGTATACATGATCATAAAACTTTAATGTGAATTACACGGCTTGCAATTGTTTGCAGAGGTCGCGTTTGGTCCCCAGAATCTCTTGACAGGGAGAACGTATAGTACGAGCATTAGCCTTCACATTATAACCTTACTAAAACATACATGTTTTAAGGTAATTAGTACTACAGAATGTCAATTCAAAAGACAACTGTGTACTTATAAATTCCCATTACTTTCAGTAAGTGACAGTTCCACTTGAAAGCTAATACAAACTATTTTCGAGTCAAGATAGTTATAAACTAGGGAAAACTTACATTTTACAAATGACACACAGAACAGTCGGGTCTAGTACATTCAGTAGAAAGGGACCTATAATGCTAACTTTATGATTCCTTAGTGTATGCATTCAGGGATATATATTAATCGGGTCCGACAGGTAGTAAGATGTGTGATTTCCGCTTCATTTCCAGTTCCTTGTTTGGTTGTGGGCTTAGAGCAGATACACCCAACCTACTATCTATCCGAGCTTAGCTATATATACGTTCCGTATACACCAAGTAATCATAAGGGGTACCATGTATGGGTCAGGTCATAGGACACTAATTCAATGCACCGTTTTCTAGTACAAAACATACTTTTCAAATGAAGAACTTTTGGAATACAAAACTAGAAACTTAACCAGTAAAGGGTTTAATCCATTTTATTAAACCAGTAAAACTTAAAGGACCTTAGGTGGTTAATTCTATAATACCTTAGTTTATATACCAGGGTTATATATAATTAATATCCGATAGGTAGTTGGGTGTGTGCCTTCCGCCTCATTCCCTTTTCCTTGTTTGGTTGTGGGCTTAGGGCAGATTCACACAATTAACTATCTGTTCGATATTAGATTATATATAGCTAGTATAAACTAGGTGATTATAGGAGGAACTACTGTGGTTATCATTTTATTATAAGAAATAAGGGTTTTCGTAAAGGATCTTTTCATTAAATATAAAGGAACTATTACAGTTAACTCCGTGAGTACCGAGTGAATACGCAGGAGTTATATACAACGAAGATCTAACAAACAATGGGATGTGTGTCTTCCGCCTCATTCCCTGTTCCTTGTTTGGTTGAGGGCTTAGGGCAGATACACACAACCGATTGTTTGTTTACTCTGGGTTTTATATAACTTGTATCCATTTAATACTCATAGAAAGGAATGTAGAGCCATTTTTACTTATATTTCATCAAAGCAGGAAATATAGGATTTTCTGGAGGAACAGGCAAACTTTTCTAAATAGAACTTACTACAACTTACTACAACTTTCTACAAACTTTCTTACTACTTACTACATCACTAAAATCTTATGAACTCACCAGCTTAAATGTTGATCTACGCTTTCAAAATAACTTGTATTCTCAGGAGACCAGTAGACAGGTACGCGCTCTGGGATTCAGAAGATGGAGCATTTCAGCTTCATGTCTTTTTGATTATTTTCTATGTATTCTATATTATGTGAATCACATACTTTGTAAACACTTTCTTTCTAATGAAAATGGTTGTTTATTACTTGCTTACTATGATGCATGTCCTGCGATACTAAACATGACGTCCTCCGCCCCAGAACGTTTCCGCTGTTCCGGATTTGGGGTGTGACACATCACGACTCCCAGACGCAGGTATGAAATTTATGGCTAAAAATGTAATTTTCCCTTTTTAACTCATCAAGTTGATGGCCTCAACTCGACGTGTTGGAAGCTCTTGGGCCGCGCATATTTTTGGACCAACTCGATGAGTTGTTGAGGAAAACTCGACGAGTTGGTGGCTGGTTATGAAACCCTAATTTTTAGGGTGTTGCACCATATTTAAAGGCCTTATGGCCTTTGGATGGCCTCCTTATCCACCCTCTCTGTCCAGAGAAACCCTAATTCGTGCATTCTCTCCTTTTATATGTGTGTATGAGCTTGAGGAGTGATTTTGGTGATCTTTTGAAGGAGCTTGGTGTGTGAAGAGGTTTGATTGAGAGGAAGGTTGTAGACTCGGTATCTTCTCTGTTGTTGCAACCATTTTGAGGTATAAAGTCGATACCTTGGTCATTTATTGCTTAGATCTTCCCCTTGAAAATTTATTGTCATTTTTGGCTCATATTGGAGTCATTCTTGGGTTTGGGCATTTCTTGAAGTTTCCACTTCAGATCTGGATACTTTATGGCCTCTTTGGGCTTAAAGCTTCAAGCTTTATCATGTTATAGGCCCCCTTTATGCTTTAGGCCCTTGTTAAGCCTTCTTTGAGTATTTTAGCCTCCTTGTGTTATGCATGGACGTAAAGTTAGCAACTTTACGTGGTTTTCCTGCTCTTGGGTTCCAGATCTGCATTCTTGAACATTGGAAGGGACGAAAAAGGGATGAATGAGTTAAGTTGGGAAAACTCGACGAGTTATCCTGACAACGAGTTGTCCTGACAACTCGGCGAGTTGACTCGAGTTTTCCCGCTATTCTGGATACTATAGGAACTCAATGAGTTGTCTTGATAACTCGGCGAGTTGGCTTGGGTTTTCCCCATTTCTCTAAGTACTAAAGGAACTCGACGAGTTGGTAGATGCACTCGACGAGTTGGGTCAACATGGACTGTTGACCTTGACTTTGACCATGGTTGACCAAGTTTGACTTTTGAGGGCATTTTGGGTATTTTGAGGTTTTGATGGGTTGGTCATGCTGATTGTAGGCTTTGAGTCGGGAGCTGGGATTCAGAGTTATATCTTATCAATTCAGCTGCTTGTGAGGTGAGTGTTCCTCACTGTACTTATTGGGTCGAAGGCACCAAAGCCGATCCTTTTGGATTGTTATCCTGATTATTGCATGATTGTGTATTGTAGTGATCTGTTAGATTTATATCCTGGTAGTAGGATGATGCTATGACTTAGTGATTTGTAAGATGTGTTTGTTGACTGGTTATGTGTTTAATTGTTATGTATATGTCGACATGTTATTGTTGGATTAGTGTCTAAGCCCATAACTATTTTGGTATGTACTTGACTCGATTGCGAGCATGGTCCTTTTGGGTTGCCTTCACCAAAGCAACTTGATAGGATGATTTATGGAGAAAGAAAATAATTATGATTTATTAATATATTATATGAATAATATATTAAGAGAGAAATCATATTATTTAATTAATAATAGTCAGGAATTAATGATAATTAATTTTGTGACTAAAAGACATTAATTAAGTAAATGGGACTAGAACTGTCAATTGTGTGATAGTTGGATATTGGGCTAATGGAGT